GTTTGCTCTGGGGAAATCCCAAAGAATTGCTTTGGGAATCAAAGCTTCTGTGATTTTAGTTGTGTTTGAATTAACTGATAGTGACTTAATGAGATTGGTCTAACTACTTACCACTTACCGTGTTGCCTTCAACCCCACCCATGCACCCACGCACGCACTGCTGATACCTGGAAGGTCACGGTATAGGTGCAGTCTGTCATCAGGGAAAACAAGCAGAAACCATCTTCTTCCTGGCTAGTGAAGATTATATTTGGAATCTAGAAGATGATGCAGGCACTGTGCTCATCATTCAGTTTGCCTTCAGTGGCTTGGAGGTCCTGAGGTCCGCTTTCCATTGAACTCTTTCCTGCCCTTTCTTACACTTGCCTCCTGGATTCTGCGGGTCTTCAGCAGAGAACCCCAGAGGGAGACAAGCCTCACTCTGAGGGTACTGGTAGTCCCTTAGGTATACTGCCTCATGCCATGCTAAAATATGCTGCTCCACCCAGACAGGGGTGAGGGCGAGGCAGTGGGCACAGACGGGACCTAGAACTCCACTGTGCCATAAAGGGTTCCCAAAATCATAGAGCCAGAGGGATGGAGCATCTGAGCTTCCTGTTACCCAGCTACTACCTGTGTGTGTGAGGGCCTGTCTTGCCAATGGGTTCCAGCCCCCAGCAAGTTCACTATGGATTCAGTGAGACCAAACAAATGACAGTAGAATGTTCTTGGGATGAAAGGGTTTATACCCAACTTTATTTCCATGGTGGCAGGTCAATCACTAGAATCCCATCTATTCAGAGTGAGTCTGCCTGCAGCAAGCCTGTCTCTGCCTCTGGGCCTCTCTGCCTGCACAACCAGCCTGTGGGCCTCTGTCCTCAGTACTGCCACCACTCCAGTCTCTGCTTTGCTCTCCTGCAGCCTTGCAGCCATGCCACCCTGTCACCCAGAGCACTGGGCAGGGCTCTTTATATAGAGTCAATAATGACACATTGCCCACACGTGTGTAGCGAGCTAGCTGACCAGGGCCAGGTGAGAATCCTGGCCACAGGAACCTTCATTTTATCCACAGGCCAGCAGCCCAGAGAGGGGTCAGATGGCTCCTCCAGGGTCCCTGAGCAAGGCTGGGGACAGGCGGGGCTCCTCAAATGGTCTCTATTCTTCAAGACTCTATCAAATTCCGATCTTTCTATAGGTCTCCCATCACAAATAGTCCACAAACAGGGTCTACAAATTAAGTAATCAGCATCTGCTTTCCCAAAGCACTGGACAATGGTGGGTGATCGCTACTAAAAAAGCAAGTGTACAGATCTCATTATCTGATCAGAAAATGCCTAGGCAAAATTTTGTTAAGATAAAATGATAAAATAAATGATAAAAAAATGTTTGGGTAGTTTAATACTTGTCTTTGCCAAGTCAAACCCAGCACAAGATTGTGACACATTTTCTGATCAGTATTAACAGAAATTTTAAAAGGTCACAAAAATCAGAATTGCCAGCTGATGGAATATGCTTCATCATATGCTGATATTACATCCGTCCCAACTTTAATTCATTGCTGTCTCCCAGAATGTCACTGTGGTTTTTATGTTAGTGATGTCATTCTAATTCAAAACAGAGTTAAACGTGTTTTCCTTGTTTCATGTGTTGGCTTTAATTTATGGAGCCATAGCAAACCAGATTACTCAAGGAAACCTTATTAGTGAATAGGAGATAAACATTTCCCAAGAAATCTGTCAGTTCTTGAGTTTATGTGCTTTTCTATCTTCAAGATGCTTTATCTTTGTCTCCAAGAAAGTAAAAAAAAATAGGCAAGATAATTTCCTAAAAACACTTAAGGACCTGAGACTAACCGAATGGTTAACATTTTGTGATGAAATGCTTGGCATTGTCAGTACGGAACACCACACAAACACACACAAACACGTTTCTCTGGTAGAGTGGCCTTTCCGGTCCTGGGAGTGGGCAGCTACACAGAGCGAGGCAGATGTATCGGATCCCTACACAGCTTTCTTCTCCCCACAGGGTGCCTCTGGATCACCGCAGAGAGGAGAAGGATATTAAATTCTCACTCTCCCACGTAACTCTAGTAACCACGAGCCCCATGTAAGGGAGTGTCTAGAAATACTGAACTCATCTGGCTGTTGACCACCACTTAACTCTGGCAAGACTGCCTCTCCTGAGGGAGGGGTGAGTGCCCACTGGGCCCCTGAATGGCATGTCTGCCACTGGTTTCCAAAGCTGTGGAAAGCCTGCCTCTCCACCTCTGAATCTGGTGGCATCACTTTCCCCTGTGGGGTTGTAATACTGAGTTATGTGGGACACCCACAGTCCCAGGTCTGTTTAGCATCAGTACAGTTATACCCCCTCTGGAATACCCTACAGGTCAGAGGGCCCACCCAAGAGGTCTGTGACTTGTCTGCTGAGTTAAAATGAGGTCCCAGACATGCAGATGTTGAGACAAGAGTGTTTTTAGTGATATATTTATGGCCATCCAACCCTTAGGGTCTGGCCCGTGCAAGCAGCCTTGCTGGATGGCTGGCGCTCACTCGTCCCCCTGTGCTCCCAGCATGACCTGGGACAGGTGGATGGGCTGCAGGTGCACCACACCTCCCTGTGTCATGGGTAACATGAAGGTCCAGCAGGGAGGGGCGGGCCCAGGAGGGGCCCTCCCTGCTCGGGATCAGGGCACTTTCTCTGGAGCCCTCACTTTTATCTCTCCCTCCAATGTTTTTTTCCCCTCAGTCTCCTTCTATTTCCAGGGCAGACACATGGCAGTCCCTGCAGAGCCCTGGCATCACACACTCACCTCACTCCAAAACCCACCGCCCACCTCAATAGCTCCTCCAGGGTCACCGCAGCACCCTATCATTTCCCTGAACTCTGCCACCTGCAGGATCGCTCGGCAGAACACCCCGACTCCTGGGCTCAGGCCCGGCTCCTGCAGCTTGCCTGTCCCACTTCCGCCTCACCAGGCCTGCTCTCTCGCCTCAGCCAGACGCCAAATGCAATACCGCCCTTTTCCCATCCATGAGCCCTGCCCAGCTCTCCCGTGGCCTGTGCCTGGGTGCTCCTCCACCCTCTTATTTCCTAAATTCTCTCTGACTGGCACACACTCCTGGGATGAACCCAAACTGGCTACTCTTTGCTTGACTGCACCCTGACCGACAAGACCAGGGAACCACATTGTGATGCCCGTGGCTTATACCTGATTCTGGTGGTCACCAGCCTCACCTGGCACTCAGTACTGCCCAGCACTTCTCCTGCCTTCCTCTCTGTGGCCATCATGCTCCCCAGCTCTCCAAAATGATGATTTCAGATCTTCTTCCATCAATTAGGGTTCTCCAGGGAAACAGAACCAAAAATACATATATTTTATACACATACACACACATGCACACACAGATTTATCTTACAGAATTGGCTCACGTGTCTGTATGGCTGGCAAGTCTGAATCTGCAGGGTAAGCCAGCAGGCCGGAGACCCATCTGAGGACCATTGCTGCAGCTGAGGTCGGAAGGCCCGCAGCAGGCAGAATCCCTTCTTGCTCAGTGCAGGTCAGTCTTGGATTCTGTTCACACCTTCAGCTGACGGGATGAGGCCACCCACGTTTTGGTGGATAATCTTCTTTACTCAGAGTCCACTTATTTGAGTGTTAATCTCATCCAACGTCAACCTCATAGAAACCTCCAGAATGATGTTTGATCATATATCCAAGTAGCAGTCCAGCCAACCTGACACATAAAATCAGCCATCACACCCCCTCCACCCTGGTCTAAGAGTGTTTTCTGTCTGCTGGATCGCTGGCTGTGGAGTCCCCTAACAAGCCTGCTCTTCCCCACCCAGCCGCCTGCAGCCCACTTTCCACACATTGATGTTAAAATCATACAGTTGATTAGGTGCCCTCGCCCCATCCACAACCTTACTGAGAGTTCTTGGTGTTCAGACTTCCCATAGGATTGTTGGATGTGTTTCTCATCAATGACTTGCCCATTTTATCTGTTTTCCTGGATCATTTTTTCTTTGTTCTAAGTGGTAATCTTAGTCATAAAAATCTTGCACACAGTCTCTGACTTTTCATTCGTTTTGTTCTTAATGTCATTTGTAAAGTTTTCAGTTTTAATGCAGTTCTTTACCTGTATGAAGTATCCTTCTTTTTGTGTAGCATGTAAGAAAAATTTTCCCATCCAGAGGTCTTACAAATGTCTGGGTTTCTTTTTCTGTAAGTTTTAAAACCTTGCTTTTCATATTTAGTTCATTAGTCCACTGAGGGTGGAATTAGATATGGATCTACTTTCATTTTGTGTTTCCTTTTTAATCATCAGGTATTACAGCATTAGTCTGTGGTCATTTGTATGGTCATATATTACATTTTTGTACTTGTATTTATTCCTGAGGTCTCTTCTTTTTCACCCATAAAGGGGTTGACTCTGTCAGTATCACATTATATTAAATACTGTTTCTGTATCAGTCTTATATTTAGTCAGGTAAGTCCCCCAGTTTGTCCTTCAAGATTGTCTTAGCTATTCTTGGTCTTTTGGTCTCTACTTAGCTCCAAACTGTTGTATGTAACTCATTGTATTTTTAGGTGACTTTGGCAAGAATGATCTTTTTTGGTATATGTATTCATTTATTTAGCCTCATAGTTTGTTTTTCAATAAAAATTTGATAATATTTGCTATACAATCTTGACCATCTCTTGTTATATTCCTAGATGTCATAGAGTTTGGTGGCTATTGGAAAAGTGGAGTTTCTAAATTCTAGTTTCTTATTTAAACATTTGTATTTCATCTCGCATGCATTACTGCTAACTCCATTTGCTCTAAGAGTTTGCCTGCAGATTGTTTGGGATTTGCTATTTACGGGGTTTCATTGTCTAAAGACAGTTTTGCTTCTTCCTTTTCATTTATTATTGATTTTTCTTAGTTTTTCTTGCCTTCCTGGAGTGGCTAGGACTTCTAGCACATTGTTGAATGGAGTTCGAGCCAACAGGCATCCTCATCTTCCTCCTGATTTTAAAGGATGAAATATACTCAATAATTAAGAGTAATGTTTGTTGAAAATTTCTGGCACCTTCCTTTCAAATTCCTTTTTCTTTTTCTCACGTTGCACGCTTTGTTACTAAATTTCAGTCTTTTCTCATGTATGTCTGTAAGATTTTGCATGTCTCTTTACATATGCCAAGTTTTTATGTCTAGTCATAAATATAATAATCAGTTCCATGGATTCTCTAATTTCATTATGATTTATTTTTCCATCCCTGAGTTATATAGCAGTATGTTTTGAATTGTGCAGATACATAGAAGGTTTTCTTGGTTATTGTTCTGTTATTTATAGCAAATATAATTGCACTTACTTGGGTAACCTGGTGTGCCTGTGTCTTTGGTGTTAGTCTGTGGAGCTTGCTTTGTTCCTGGGTTTGTATGAGTCCCACATATCTTGTTGGGTACCAGGTTCTGGTATATGGCTGTTGTTCGGCTCTTCTCTGTCCTCACTAGCTAATGGTCTGTTGAACGTGTTAAGGAGGTGTGTAAACACCCACACCACAATGGTGGGTTTGTCCATTTCTTCTCCCGCTGCTCTTGGTTTCTTTCATCTCTGCTCATTCTCATCTCGATCTCCTTCCTCCAGGATTAGGACCAGATTCTGGGTTCCAGTCCAAACCTTCTTCGGTCCTTATTGAGCATATGCTCCCTGGGCAAGTGGGCAAGTTCTGCTTCCCTGGTATCGTGCTGTGTGTGCTGGCCTCGCCCAAGTCCAAGACTTCAGCCCAAATCCATGCAGTCGCCTGCCAGATGCCTCCATGCAGGTGGACCTCAACCATCTCAGACTCAAATAACAAACCGAGGCCTTCGTCGCTGCCCCGCCAGGGCTCCCCGCAGGGCCACGCTTCCTCCAGTCTGCCCGTCTCAGCAAACAGCTGCCAGTGGCTCAGACCGCAGAAGGATTGTTTTTTCTCCTTTATTCCCATCTCCTCTTACTCACCAAGTCTTCCTAACTACCTGTCACATTCACCCTCAGCTCACACCCTCACGCTCACCCGTGGAGGGAGACACTTAGATGGGACTGCCGTGGCACCATCCCTTATTTTCTTGCATGTTGAGGGGGAAGATGGAATTAAGGGTCTGGAGTATTTCCAGACTAGAAAGAATATTCACACAGTTTATTTAGAGGCTAGTTAAACTAAAGCACGGCCATTATCATCCTAGCCTAAGAGTATTTATCCCAACGTTGGTGAGCAGAATCCACTTCCTAGGACCAACTTAGCTTCTTACTGCCAGAAAACAAGTATGGTTTCATGTACACATATCCCAACAAACATAACATCCTACAGAAAACATGTCTACAGGCCATGTAGTAGTCACAGCCTGTGTTTAGATAGTCTGGTTCTATGGAGATAGGTGATAACAAAACTTTTCATAGGAGCTGGGTATCTCACGACCACTTCTTTCACGTGTCAAGACTGGATAGAAGTCTGAAATACAGGATGATCTGATACTAAGTATAGGCTTAATTTTAACAAGACCTCGCCCACTGGGAAAATGCTCTTTGTTCTCTGTGCCCCTTTGGTCATTTGTATTGTCAAATAAAAACAAATCCTGACTTTAGTACGGGGAGACTTATTCAAAAAGACTATAGCAATGGGGAGAATGCGTCCAAATCAGGAACTGCCAGCATCTCAGAATCAAACAAAAATGGCTTTTCTTTGAAAGGGTAGAGGAAGGAAGCAAAGTTCAGCAGAAACTTAAGAAACCGGGCAAGCCAGGGGAAATGGGCCCTGGTGTGCGGCGCTCTGTGGCCAGCCACCACTTGGGATAAGCTGGTGGGGGCATGTTCTGTTTTTCTCGTGCTTTCTCAGGCTCGGGGGCAGGCACAGTGCAGGGGTCTGCAGGGAGGTGCCTCATGTTTACTCAGATGAGACAGAGGGTAGGAAGTGGGCCCCTGGGAACACACGGTCAGGACCTAAAGCTGCTCCAGGCCAGCTGCCCCTAATTCATCAGGATGGCAACCAGTTTGTCCAGCTCGTTGAAGTCTTAAAGTAACCATGTAAACAAAGTTCAGTTCTCCTGGAAAAGGTACTGAGTTCAGTTAGCTCCTGCCTCGGCTGCCCTTGCTCGGCCCCACCCTGGGCCCTCTGGTTCCCCAGCCACCCAGCCGCTCTGTCATTGCCCTGCCTCCGCGAACACCTCTCCCTGGCCCCACTCTGCCCTCTGCCCAAGTGGCCTTCACTTCCCACCACTCTCTAGTCCTCTGCGCTTGCTCTGCCTTCTCCAAACACATGTTCCCACCCCTCTTCTGCCCTGGGCTCCCTGCGCTCCTCTCCTCAGTGTACCTGTCTTTCCCTCAGCTCGGGATCCCCCCACCTACCCTAGCACGCAGCAAGTCTCAGCCCTCTGGGGGCTGCCTGCCCACGAGGCTTCTTTCTGCCCTGGAGACATGGCCCGTGGAAGGCCAGATGTGCCTCCTCATTTCATGTCTGTGCTTAGTATCTTCTGGGCTCTCCATCAGTATGTGCTGAAGGAAGGATAGGAAGGAGGGAGGGAGGAGAGAAGATACACACCGGGCAAAGAATAAATCCCTGGAAACTGGCAGTGTGGATAACATGATGGTTCCTGTGGCCAGGATTCTCACCTGGCCCTGGTCGGCTAGCTCACTACACACGTGTGGGCAATGCTTCGTTATTGACTCTATATAAAGAGCTCTGCCCAGGGCTCTGGGCAAAAACAGTGGCTCAGCTGCAAGGCTGCAGAGACTAGACTAGAGTGGTGGCAGTGCCTAGGACAGAGACTGGGACACCTGCACAGCCCAGGGGTAGAGACCGGCTTGCTGTCTCTGAGTGGGTGCTCACTCTGAGTGGGTGGGATTCTAGTGACTGACCTGCCACAGTGGAAATAAAGTTGAGTGTAAACCCTTTCTCCTCAAGAACGTTCCATTGTTATTTCCTTGGTCACATTGAATCCATAGTGAACTTGCCTGGGGGCTGAAACCCACTAGCAAGACAAGCAGTCATAGGTGGGAGCACCAAAAAACATAGTAAGACCACCAGTGTTTTCTGGCAGGTTGATTCATGGGATGCACTTATGTCATATTCCAGAAAGCCCTAAGATGCACTTATGTCATATTTCTGGGAAACACAGTTAGCCTCGCTTTTTCAACATAATTTAAAGTCGAAGCCATATCCTTGCCGTGGGAGAGGTGCCCTCTGGTGTGACTGACAGAGGCTCGCAGGGGAGCAGAACCCTCCGGGATCACACCCCACTGTCCTCGCCCTGAAGCTCCCAAATGGGACCTATTGTCTCAGGGACCCCTGTCCCCTGCCCCCCACTTCCAGCCTCGTTGGTGGCGTCACCACACTGGGTGCTCAGGGTTGACAGCTTGGTTCACCCCTACCGTATCCTTCTGTCCCTCCCATGTATCTAGGCCATCACCCTGTCCCCTTGACACCACCCCCTGCAAAGCTGGGGCACTGATGTGAACCAGGGAGCTGGGGCCTTAGCTGCCGGCAGTACAGAGCCATCCAAGGTTTTGGGTGAAGGGGAGGTGATGGCCGGACTTGCCGTAGAAGCAGTGGGAACAGGACTAAGGCCATGAGATAATGAGGGCCAAACACACAGAAGAGAAGAGGTGATTTGATAAACATTTAGGAAGTTAAATTGGCAGAGCCTGGCCACCAGGAGGCAAGAGAGAGAGAGAGAGATTGTGAGGCCTCCAGGGCCCTGGCCTTGGCCCCAGTATATCAAGCATCACCTGTAGCCCCAGGGCTTCGGGAGGACTGTGACCTGACTGACTCTGTGCACCCCAGTCTTCATGGGGCACAAGGCTTTTCTGGCAAAGGAGAGCCCACTGGGGCTTGCCGTGGCTCCTCCCCTTGGTCCTGAGCCTCCCCAGTTCTCTATTTACATCAGCCTTGTCAGGTGGGGAGGGATACCCCTCCTTCAGGGAGAAGGCTCCCCTCTGCTCTTCCTCCTCCTGAAGTCCTGCTCTGGACATGTTCGCATGACCCAGGATCTGTGTCCCAGTCGCTCAGGAGGCCCCGCAGCTGTGCACACTGAGAACCCTGTGCTCAGAGCATGAGGGTGCAGGTGCGGGGGGTGAGGGGTGGGGCTGGGGGTGACGGTTCTTAGCGCTGGATTTCAATTCCAGGCAAGTTCACTCTAGATTCTGTGAGACCGAGAAATGACAGCGGAGCGTTGGGAAGAGGATTCATACCCAGCTTTATTCTCGTGGGGGCCGGTGGGGTGCTCAGATTACATGCGCTGCATCCACAAGCAGAAGCCCACAGTACATGATCCACAGGGCTCTGGGTGGAGGTGTTTATATAGCCACACAAACAATAATGGCTCACTGCCAACACGTGTGAAAGCTTGGCCTGCGCAGTCGGCCACGTATTGGGTAAGCATGAGGTAGCAAGCACGTGCGCAGTGGGTCAGGCGAGCATCCCGGCAGTAGTAACTTCTAGTTCCCCTACAGTTCCTTCTCCCTGAGTCCATATATGAACATCCTCCCGCCTTCCCACACAGACTCGGCCTGTTAGAAACAAGGAGGCCACTGGACTGGGGTGGCTCTGGTGTCTCGGCTGCAGTCAGTGAGCTCCAATCAGGGAAAATGAAACTCAAGGAAAGCCAATCAGCACCCGCCAACCAGGCTTTCCCAGATAAGGCAACCGTAAGCTAGAGCCAATCAGATCGTCTCCTTGCTGTGCTCCTGTGTCTTTTCTAAAACCCCCACCCTCACCCCCCACCTGTGGGGCACTGCCCAGCTCAAACTGATGTTTGCTCGAATACACTCCTTAAGTTTTTTACGTGCCTCAGTTTATCTTAAAGTCTCTAGAGGACATTTAAGGCAAAGTGTTTAGTCTGGGCTAAGACTCTGCCTGTGCCTTTAAAGAACTGTTAGAATATCAGTTAAACACAAATCAGAAATGTTACTTTTAGTCATAAATAGTTTCCAAGTACACGAGAAGCAAAAGGCTAACGAGATGGCTGAAATCACTTCTCCGTGTCACTGTATTTCCCACAGGTCTCCATTCTTTTTAACTTCATTTTTCATCAAGC